TCTAACGAAATAAGCCTTAAACGCTGAACTGTGGGTACTGCCCCCGCTCAGTAACAGTTGGATAAGATTTGTGATATGATTATCTATAAGTCTACAAGGCCTAATGTTGCCCTGATTATACGATAATAGTGGTAATATTGAGGGTTATCTATTACAGACAGTTACAAGGTGGGGGCAGTACGCAAGCGGAACTCGAGGCATAAGCCTTGAATCCAGCCAACAGGCTGCCTGCCTGTCGTGGCATCCAGACAAGAATTTGAAGCACCAGGACCCCAGAGTTAGGGATGCTTTCCAGGTGATTTTAGGCTTTTATTGGGGATATATTGGGATATGTAGGGTTTAGGCTCTGGGGTGTTCCCAAAATAGGGGGTACACTCCTCCTTGAAATTTCCCAATCATAAGGATTATAGTAGTTTGGGGTCTATATTCGGGCCACCCCCCCTTTCGGGAAAGTACCAGATCTTTTCTAACTGACATGGCCTCGACAAAGCTTCAGGCCCTGTAGCTCAAAGATTTCAGAATCTTCCCTGAACCCCAAAACCTGGACCTTGAGCCCGAAGCCCCAAGTCGTGTGCAAAAAATCATTGAGCTCCCTAAGCCCTAAGCCCTAAACCCTAAACCCTAGACCCTGAAACCCTAAACCCCCAGCTTTTCAACCTTGAGTTCCCTGTGAAACTCTTAGGTCCGCCGCGCACAGCCATGCACTCCGCCTAGGTTCTAGGGACGTGTCTTCCTTAGCTACTGGGTTGCCCTCACTCTCCTTTGCTCTTTACGCTGCTAGATTTGGGGGTTTCCTAAAATTAGGGGTACCCTATTGGGGGTCCTTATAATAAGGATTATAGAATTGGGGGGCCTATACTGGGGTCCCATAATGTTGGGAAACTACCATTTCAGGGTTGTAAGGGCGTAGGGTACGTTCAGCCTCACCCGGTATTTGAGTTTTCTCAGATTAGGGGTACCGCTTTGGAGGTGCCTATAGTAAGGAGTATGGTATTTGGGGGTCTGCCTTGGGCTTCCCGTTTTTAAGGAGACTGTTTTGAACCCCTCTTTCCTAAATCTGTCAACTGCGGAGGAAGTGGCCACGGAGGTCTTTCAATTCCTCCAGTGCGTCAAAGATTGGTACTTTGAGGCAGCAGTGGTTTCAGGGTTCATTGACGTAGGGTGCACATCTGTGACATGCATGGAGTCTGCCAAGAACGTGTACATCCAAAAACTTTGGAGCATTCTGCAAACTTTCATTTTTGGAGTGCAAGCGCTTTCTCGCGTTTTATAGAGACCTTCTTCGGGATTATGGGGACAGTCTGTGAGAAACAGTTTTATTCAAAGTCTGTCAATCTATGTGCAGTGTTGGGGTTCAAGCACTTCGAGAATCCGGAGTAATGTAGGCTACTAGGGGAGTTATCCGAAGGCTTCTTTACAGGGATTCGAACACTGAACGCAGCAAAAAAACACACGTCAATTATTAAGTGGGGGGAAATCCGGAATTATATCGGGGCATGCCACATTTTGGGTGCCCTCAAAAAGGATCTCAGTATTGTCCGCAACTACCCAGACGTTGTTAAGCCTCACGCACCTCCGCATAGTTCGAGGCTGGGGCGCACCACTTGCTGGTTGCTAGTAGAGAATGGAGGACTGGATCTCTAGGTAGCCCCGATACAATCCTCCATGCTGTAGTAACTTCCTTCCCTTTTCTTCCCTTCCTTGATTCCCTGCTAGCAACCACTACGTCTATCATCCTAAACCCTAAACCCTATCACCCACATGCACTACCCAAGCTGACTCGACAAGGTATGTCCCAAGAAGCCCTTTCCTCTTTTTTCTCACGGAGTGCTACCCTCACCAAAATAAGATGGACAGCCAAAAAGGAGCCTTTTGAAGGTGGCTCATGTCGTGTGGGTCATGCCATTTAAGCGGTTTAGGGTTTAGGGAGGCTTCCAGGTTTGAGGACACAGCGAGCTTCTCACAAGAGGGCCGTCCTAAGTACACTTCTTTTCCGAGGCCCGAATCGAGAAGTGCCACCTTCTACCCAACAAACATGGAACCCGAAACCCTACACCCTAAACCCTAAGTCCCCATGATAGACAGAAGTCTATGGAGGCCTGTCTTCGAGCCTCCATGCCATTTTCGAGCGAAGTGTTCAAAAATCCCTCCTTACCCAAAAGGTCCATGCAGCAATGTGGTATATACTTGGGCGCCCAAGTAGTTACATAGGAGCCCCTTTGGGCCCTAAGTATATACTATATACTATGTATATAGATAAATACAGATATATAAATAAATAAATAAATAGATAAATAGATAAATAAATAAATAAATATAGACACGCACACATATATACACATATATGTATATGTATATGTAT